CCACTGCTGCCCAACACGGGGCTCAAGCAACAGGGATGAGTTTCATCCCGGATCTCCTGTCCCACAGCATCACCCCCTCCCAAGGGAGGCCCATGGGCTTCACCCCAGTCTCAGAGCTCTTCTGCTCGCTCTCATGGAGGTGGGGGCTATTTCTGCAGGAAGAAGGACCTTCGCCTGTCACCCTGGCAGCACCAGCAGCCCAAACGAGGCCCTGGATGGAGCCTTCCTTGCACCTCCATGTGACTGTTACTGTCCCTGCACAAGATGAAGAAACTGAAGCACGGACCGAGATGCCTCGTGACAGCCATTCATCACCCCACTGGGTACCAGTGCCAGTGCCTCTGCCCCTCCCCTGCCAGCCTGGCCTGGCTCAGCAGTGGTGGCCAGAGGAGCCCAGCTGCTCCCAGGGCTCAGCTGGGGCCATTTAACCTGCCGAGAGGTTTCACCTGGAGCCTGGTGGGTCTCGGTGGGGCAGGTCCATAACCACCCACCGAGGCCCTTTCCGGGCGGCTGCTCTTATAAACCAGCAGCTTCCTATGTCCCTAGGGCTTTTTCTTTCTTTCTTTTTTTTTTCTTTTCTTTTTCCTTTGTCTTTTAGGAGCTGTGGTTTGGAGGTGGAGAGGGCTGAGGTCTGCTGCCCGCAGGTCTCTAGGGTATAGTGCCAGGATTTTCTGCCCTTCCCAGCACTGCCAAGCAGGTAAGGGCACAGCAATGAGCTGCCTCTGCTTCCCCCATCCCTGGGCTGGGGTTGGAGGCTGCAGCCCAGAGCAGGGCTCTGCCCTGGAACTGGCTGCAGCCAGGAAGGGTCCCAGCACAGTCCTTCTCTCATGTACTGTCCCAGATGAAGGACAATGTTATCACGTAGCTCTGGTGTGACCTTGGGGCTCAGTTCTCAGCCCAGCTGCAGCACCCCTCTGCCAATGCAAAGAAATTCCTTCTCGGAGCTGCATCTCCTTCCACCACGGAGCCGCTCGCTCGCCCTGCTCAGCCAGGAGGACCACCTTGAGAGCTTCAATGGGTATGTGGCTGCAGGGATGCGTGTGGGGGCTGACCCTGGTCTTGCCTCGTGTTTGTCCCCAAGGGAATGTGTCCCTTGTGTGGGATGGGTTTAGGTTCATGGTCTAGCACTGATGTTCCCAGCTCCAGGAGGTTTGCGGTGCCTAGGCTGGTGTTGCTCCTCTGTAGTCAGGGCAAAGCTGATGGCCCCAGGTCTCCCCAGGGTCTCTGTCATCAGCACTGTTGTGGCTCAGGCTGGGCAGTGCTGTGTGTCCCAAAGGCCACCAACTCACACCTGTGTCCCTGCTGCTCTGCCAGGAGCTTCTGCGACATGAACGATTCTTTGGGGGCTGATCTGTTGGACTGCAACTACTCCATCCCTGACCCGCAGCTGGTACGGAGGATTGTGTCCCAGGTGGAGTTCTACCTTTCCGATGAGAACCTGGCCAAGGATGCTTTCCTCCTGAAACATGTCCAAAAGAACAAGATGGGCTTTGTCAGCATCAAACTGCTGACATCCTTCAAGAAGGTAGACAGTCTATGGTGCCGGCCAGCCAGGGTGGTAAGTGGCCCCCACGTAGGGGTGCTCTGGCTGTCTCTGGTGGGGTGCACAGGGAGGTCCAGGCTCTACTCAGGCTGTCTGTGTCCTGGCAAAGTGCTGGTGGTGCAGAGTTGTGCTCTGCTCTCTGCCTCTGATGTGCTGCAGCAGCTCTGCAGCTGAGGAGGGTGGCTGGGGAAGGGGTGGACAGTCCTTAAACCACCCCCAGGGCTGGATTTGCCTCTTCTGCCCTTGGTCCCCCCAGGCTGCTTTGGGAGAGACCATCCCTTAATCAAAAATCTGTGAGATATGGGGAAGCTGTGGCTTATTGCCACAGTCCAGGGGGCACTGGGGACCTTCTCCTGCAGACCCTGAAGATGCTCCTGTGAACAGATGATATTGGCTTGCCATGGTTTCAGGTTGATGGGGTTGCAGCCTGCATGGATGACGGGTTTAGGGTGGTCTTTACCTGGGGAGAATCACAGGGACACAGTGGCCTACTCTCTTCTGCAGGTGAAATACCTGACGCGCGACTGGCGGCTCACGCTCTACGCCCTGCAGTTCTCAGAGCTGCTGGAGGTGAACAAGGAGGGCACCAAAGTGAGGCGGCGGGTCCCCGTCCCCGAGTCCCTGCTGAGCATCCCCCCCAGCAAACTGCTGCTGGCCTGGGAGCTGCTGCCCCAGAAGCAGGGTGTGCTGCCGCTGCTCCAGAAAAACTTCCTTGAGACCATCACGAGGATGTTCAGCCCCTTCGGCGCCATCGCCTCCATCCGCATCCTGCGGCCGGGCCGCAAGCTGCCCTCGGATGTGCGGAAATACACATCGCGCTTCCCTGAGCTGCTGAGCAAGTGCTGCGCGCTGGTGGAGTATGAGAGTCTGGAGAGCGCCCGAAGGGCTTTTGAGGATCTCGGCCGCCAAAGCCGCCCGAGCAGTGAGAACATCAGGGTGGTCCGGCTCTGTGGGAAGGGCTACAAGAAGAAGCCTGGGGCTGAGAGGGTGGGCCCAGCCGGTTTGAAAGGCGCAGGCAGCGGCCACAACCTTCCCCTGCAGCATCTGGGACTCCTTGCTTTGCAGCTCCTCGGAGTCGGACGGCACCCTGGCATCGCTGCCCCTCCTCCTCAACAAGGACCCCTCGGAAGCTGCCTGGGCCGATGGTGACTTCAAGCCCGGCGACTTGAGCAATGCCTTC